CGGCAGCTCCCTGTGTCCTCCACACCCTGTGTCTGGTCTCAGCTGAGCCAGGAGGAGAGGACAAGGCCAACAGTGACCACGAGGACTCGTGCCCTCTGCTCTCTGACCCTCCCCCTGAGGAGGGGCCCTGCCTCCCCTCAGCCCCACAGGAGCCCAGCAGGACAGACGGAGCGGACGGAGCTGTGGACGGTTTGGAGAAGACGCGGGCTGCCTGCTGTGCAGCCTGCCCTCGCGCGCAGACGCCCACTCCGGGCCCCAGGCAGCATCCTCCCGGACCCCTGTGCCCTCGGTCCCGCCGCCCCACAGACGAGCTTCTCCGGGTCTGGCCGAATGTTCGCTTCCTGTGGCTCTGAAGCCACTCCCACCCCAGCTGCTGCTGCCTGGCCTCCAGCCCAGGAAACATTCACACCCCCTGGGCCTCGGCCACTTCAGAACAGGAGCGGCAGGTGGTGGGCTCACCTGGAGCCGTGTCCTCTGTGCGGAGACTTCCCTGCAGGGCTCACGGCTCCCTCACCCCTGCCGACACCCAGTGGCCCACGGTGTTCCATCTGCATGGCCACCCCCCAGAGCCCATGCCCTGCAGTCCTCGGCCTCCCCGATGCCCGAGGCATGGCGTCCACATGGGTGCCAGGACCTGGGGGTGCTCTCAACGGCGAAGGCAGGGGCCTGCAGTGAGCCTGTGGGTGCTGCCTGGGCCTGACTCTCAGACTCACCCAGAGCCCAGCACTGACTTGCTGTGCTCCCCCTTCTGGGGCACAGCACCCAGAACGTTCACCCAGGACAGGCCAGGGCATCCCTGAGACAGAGCCGCCCCACTGACAGCGGTTCCGGCCCAGGGGTTTGCAGCGAGGCCGGGCGGTCCGACAGCCCACACTGCGGGCACCAGCCAGAGCCTCTGCAAGGGCTTCCTGGGAGCGAGCGCCGGCAACCATGCATTTAAACGGGGAGGAGAGTGACTAGACGGGACGGTGCCACCAGCTCTGTAATAAACGTGACTGCCTTGGGACAGGCGGAGAACAGAGAGGGACCGAGAGGGAAATGCCCTCCAGCTGCTGCCGGCCGCTCAGGGGCGACATCTGTCTAGAGGGATCGGAAGGTCGGGGGATGGGAGCCAGCGTGTCCCTGAGGAGCCAGCGGGTGGCCTCCCTGACCACCAAGGCGGCGGTGTGATGGGGGGCATGTCAGTGGGGGCATCGGGTGCAAGATACATCTCTGTGCAAGGTGGGGGGCTGGGGAGCTCGGGGACAGTGAGGGGTCTGTCAGGGACAGTGTGGGTGTGACGGGGCAGACGGGACACAGGAGCAGAGTCCTGACGGTGACAGGTCCCGTGACACAGGGCAGAGGGAGGCGCATGTGCCCCGCAGTGAGGGAAGCCAGGTGTCCCCTCGGGGACACGGACCCGGACGCCCCGCGCCGGGCGCACGTGGATGCAGGGAGAGCCGGAGCCCAGGCCCGGCGAGCCGGCAGCCGACGCAGGGGACCACCTCCCACTCGCTGACCCGCTGCCACTGAGCGTCTCCCCTCTCCGACTCCACCGCCCGGCGGTGAGGAAGGGCAGGTCCGGCTTAGACACCCAAACTGAATTTAAAAACGGGGACAGGAGCTGTGTTGGGAGACGTGTCCCAAAGGGGAACCGGACAGGAGCTCGGGCAGCGGGCAGTTGTCTGACCGGGTGTAAGCAGGAGATCCCCACTATGGGACAGGCCTGGGGGCCCCACGGGGCCGCACCCCACTCTGTGCCAGGAAAACCGGGCACCTGCACCCTGGGCCCAAGGCCTCGCTCCCCTCTGTGTAGAGGGGACACACCTCTGCACCCACCTCTTTTCCGAGCCTCTGCCCTGGGACAACTCATTTCAACCCCAGGGGGAGGGCCTCCAAACCGTCCTCAGAAACGTGGGAGCAGCCTGGGCCCTGGACAGTGCTTGGCACGGCAGCCCTCAGCCACCGTCCCTCTGGAATGATAAACATCCCCTGCGCTTCCCTGCGGCCGGGCCGCGCTCAGAAACTCTGTTTCAAAAATAACTACAGCAACCGACCATTAAACCAGGGCTGCTTTCCAATCGACCTTTTCTTTTTCTCCCTTTCCAAACTGGCACCTTGGGGACTTCGTGGAGCCCAAAATGCAGACTTCCATAAATGTGCCCTGGTGGCCTCTAAGCCTGCAGATCCCCAGCTCACTGCAGCTGGGAAGCGGGGGCTGTGTCAGGAAGACCGCCGCCCCCGCCCCCCACTGCCCTGCAAGGTGCTCACGCTGGCTTCTGGACCCAACGGAGACGAGACAGTGTGAAGGACCGGCGGAACACGACGCCCGAGCCCCCGCCCAGAGCCCCGCCGCGCAGACAGGCCCGCCAAGCTCCCCGCACCTCCACGGCTGAAGACCGCGTGTCCTCAGGGAAACACGTCGCCTCCAGAGACCACGGGGCTGCCCGTCCCAGCTGATGCTGCCGCGCCAGCCTCCCCCGCAGCCTGGGCCCAGGTCCCCGCAGAGCTGTCCGCACCTGCCCGGGCCTCGCTGAGGGGCAGGAACCCACGGTCCCCCAGGGTGGCTAATTCGAGGCTCTGCCGCTCCCGACACCCCTACCCGGCTGGGTCGCGACGGCTGCACGAGACTCTAACCTGGAAGACCTGTTCTGTGCCAACCGTGGTCAGCAGCCAAAATGCTGGTGTCCTGACACGAGCCACACCCACGCACTCGAGGGCGACAGGAGAGGTCGCAGGGTGGGGACCCGCCGGAGCCTCGCCTCCCAGTTCTCTCTGGGGATAGGCCGGTGCCCGGGCCACCTGCTGTGTGAAGCGCGGCCGCCTGCCTGTGACGCTGACTCCGAACTGCAACCGAAGGGCGGGATGTGACCATATCGACGCCGCCGCACGACGAGGGACACACAGGAATGCTGTCCTGTTGTGCGGTTTGGAAGTTTAAAATCATTTCAAATAAAATGCCAAAAGAAAACAACACAGGGGCTGCAAACCGGTGACCGTACTGGGGGATCCGACCCGCAGGCTGACTTTGGGTGGTAAAAGCCAGTTCGAATCAGCTGCCGACCGCACGTGCAGAGACGTGATCTGAAACCCAGATTCACGGCTCCCCGCAAACCCCGGAAGCCGGGCAGCAGCTGCCGCACAGACTTGGGGTGGCAGGCGCCCAGTAGGACCCACGTTCCCGAGCCTGCGCATGGCGCCAGTGGCTGCAGGAACCCCAGACCCGAGCCTGCGGCCCAGTGCTCCAGGGGACGCTGAACCCCTTGGACCCCGCCCCTGAGCCCACGACGTCTCGGACTCGAACGCAAGGCGGCTCTAGGAGGTGCCTGTGCCTCTAGTTCCCCTCAACACCCCTCACGGGAGCAGTTCAGCCCCTGACACCTCAGTCCCAGGGCTTGTCCACCCCTCACTTTCAGCGTCTCATGGCCACACGACCAACCCCCACCGCTAGAAGCGCTGAAACTTCCCTCCAGGGCACAGGCTCAGTGAGGCTGAGCCCTCCGAGTACACCTCCTGAGCCCACGTCACTCTAGCCAGCCGTGAGCACTGTCCCCAGAGAAACATGCAAACACACGGACAGCGCCGCGGCTCTCAGATGGGCCATGTGGATGCTGGGGCTGAGCCTCTGCTCCGACAGAAAGCTCACCGAGGCCCCGGGAGGGGAGAAGCAAGGACTGCTGTGGGGGCCACCAGCTACCCAGTGGGCCTCCTTGGGGACACGGTCCAAGTGACACACACCAGTGACAGAAGGACACATGCCGTGTGATGCCACCTGTATGAGGTCCCCAGACTCACCAAATTCACGAATGATGACGGTGGTGGTGCCGGGGGCTGGGCGGGGGAGGGACCGTTAATGGGACCAGAGCGTCAGTGTGGGAAGATGGAAGGTTGTGGGGAGGACGGTGGGGACGGTGGCACAAGGGGGCGACTGTGCCGCGTGCTGCTGAGACGCGAACTTATGAGCAGTCAAGGTGGAAATTTCTGTTGTGTGTATTTTATGATAATCTTTCAAAAATGTAAGTGCTTTGTGGCTTTTTGCGGGGGGTGCTGGAGAAGAACTGTTGGCAGGCGGAGGACGGAGCCAGAGAGAAGGCTCGGCGGGAGGGCGGGGCCTCGAGGACCGGCGAGCTCTGGACAAGAGGGGGACACACCCGTCTCTGAGAACATGGGGGACAGTGGGGGCCCCGAGGATGAGTGGTGGGTGCAGCGGTCCTGTCCGGGGCGCCGACCCCCTGGGGACTCCAGGACACGGCGGTGGTGCAGCTGGCGTCTCAGGGGACCCAGGGGGAGGTGAGGGGGCTGGGGAGCTGCCTCCCTCCCTGCCCTCTGAGGAGCGGGAGTAAAGACTCATGGACACACTAAGGAGGCTGCGAACACAGTGGCCAGCACGCAGTAGGTCTTCAGTTAGTGTTGGGAAGCAGATGCAGCAGGATGGAAAGAGCCGGAACATGCCAGCGGCAGATGCCTCCAGTGTGATGGTGAACGACTGTGGGTCTGCTGTGTTTCTCGGTGAAGCCCTGGAAACACGGGCCGTCCAGCCCTGAGCCGACTGTCCCTCGGGCACGTTCTCGGCGTGAGAGCATCTGCACCTTTTCTACGGGATGGTGGCACATCTGCGCCCCCCCCCCCCCCCCGCACGTTGGCCACACAGCCCCTCACCCAGAACCTGAGCTCGGAGGACGGCGGTGCCTCGGTCCCGCTGGCGGCCAGCTGCGCAGTGAGAACTGCCTCTCCCCACCAGGAAGGACATTGGCTGTGAATCGGAACCCACGCTCCCCACACACCCGTGAAGCTGTGCCTGCCTCAGAGCCCGTTCCACCCCATGCCCGGGGCTGCTCAGGCTGTGCGGCCACCTCACGCCGCCTGTAGGGACCTCCCTGGCACTTGAGCGGGGTCCCCTGGCCCAGGCCTGCTGGGCGGCACCGAGAGCTGCGTAGATCCTTTATACGGCGACCGGGATGACCAAAGTCCCTCCAAGCCACATCAAAGAGCAGAAATGAGGGCGCACAGCCCTGACTCACCAGCTTGTGCACCAGACGCACGGTGACCAGCGGGGAGGCCGACAGGTTCTGGGAGAGCGCGGGCGGCGGGGCGACCTCCAGGGAGATGAGGTAGCTGGCGGCGGACAGCAGGCAGCCCTGGTAGGCCGTGGCCTCGGCAATCCTGGGGAATCGGTGGGGGGGGGAGTCACCACACAGAGGAAAGGGGGCGCACGGCGAGAAGCCCGACCTGCTGGCCATGGAGTCTTTGGGGACGGAGCTCTGGTTTCCAGCGGCCAGGGCCGGCCGCCCGCTCCGGGTGGGGCGGGTCCCGGGCTTGGCATTGGAACCTGACATCGGAGCCACCGGAGTCCCGTGGCTCAGACCTGGTCCCTCTGAGGTCCGATGCCGGCACCACAGGTGGGATGGGCCCTGGCCTCCCAGAGTTTACTGACTTTTTTTTTTTTGCATTTTACATTTTTCTTTTCATTTACTTTACCAGGTGACACTGGGTCACAAAATCACGCAGGTCGCAGGTGCGGTTCCACCACACGCCCCTCGAATCCTCGGCACCAACGCAGGGTCTGCAACGTGGTGGGAGCAGCCCCGCACGACGGCCCCGGGACTGCGAGGGACACAGAGGTCTCTCCCCGGGAGACGAGCTGCTCCCTGTGGTCTGGGGAGGGCTGACCCACCCGGGGCCCTAGGAGTCATGTGAGCTCAACTGGCCAATGAGAGAGCAGGACCCTTCAGCCCCCATGACTCGGGTACCAGGATGGGCCCATGACACAAACGGGCCCAGCACAGCTATCCCTGGGTCTCCACGGGGTGGGGGTCATGTAAACAGACCCGGCCAATGAGTGGGCAGGATCCTCTGGCCACACGATTGGGCACATGACCCAAGAGGGTCAGCTGCAGCCCTCCCTGGTCCCCACGGATGCAACAGGAAAGAGGGTACCCTCCTTCTGGCCCTGTACCCCAACCTGCGCAGGCCCGCAGCCACCAGAGCCAGCTGTGCCCCCAGGCGGGGCCTTCTGGAAATGAGCCCACACGCAGGAGACGGAAGCAGGAGACTGAGGCAGGCCTGGAGGGTCCTCCGGGTCCAGCCGAGCCTGAGGCCGACACGCTCCTGCCCTTCCCAAGCCCCTGGGCCCTCCGTCCCCAGCCTTCCACGTGAGCGGATATGTCCAGCCTAGTCCTGGCTGACAGAGGCACATGCCACCGTCTCAGTCTACGGAAGTGGAACCTGAGACCGGGGCGGTCGAGGCAGGAGTCACCCGCTAGCTCCAGGTGGCCGCTCCGTGACCCAGCCTGTGGTCCTGGCCGCCGCACTCTCAGCCTGCCCCCCGGGGCTTGCCCAGGCAGGAGTCCTTGCGTCTCCTTCTAGGGGCCGTGGTCCCCTCGCACAGACGCTGCGGCACTGGCTGCTGGCATCAGGAGGCCTCAGGCACAATATTGTGGGCGCCCATGACGGGGAAGTGGGCATGTCACTGTGGTCAGGGACCCTGAGGACACACACGCTCGCGCACACACACGCCCCCCCGTCTCCTCTGTGCTGTGTGACCCCGGAGACTCACTTGGTGCTGTCTGGCCGGATGCTTCTCAGGTAGCGGTGCATCGTGTGGTACAGCAGGCCCACGACGGTGGTCCAGGCTGGGGGAGAACAGGGGGACGGGCCCTTCGTCAGCGTTGCAGGTGACGAGCAGGAGAAACACAAACCCCCAGCCAGGCCCCCTTGCTCGACAATGCAGGCCCTCACCCAAGAACCAGGGAAAAAGGAAGTGAGGGACCCTCCCGGGACTCTGTGTCTCATCAGCTGTGACAGCGACTCTGCTGGTCCCCAAGCCAATTCTAGACGGCAGACACTGCCGCTCCCAGGGGGCAGGCAGTCCTGGCCCGGGGTGGACCCCAAAGGCCCAGGCCCCTGCAGGTCATGCACGCGGGGCCAGCCTGCAGCCCTGCAGCATGGGCACGGGTGTTTGCCGTCTGCCTGCGGGGTGTTCAGAGCCACGCCGCCCTGAGCGGGCAGTCACCCCTGTCCTTCCCGCCTGCACCTGGGCTCACCTCTCTGCCGCGACAACCTTGGGGGAGGGGCCCCTTTTATGTTGTTCCCCACCCCTAGTTCGGGGAGGACTTCCCGAGTTCTTCAGGGATATTTGTGGGGAATTTAATATTCTGGGAACATAGTTAAAAATTCGAATTGCACCACGGGTTCCATTCTGGTGTAAGGGCTTTGCTCCGTCAATTGTCCTGACAATGTTACGAGTCAGGGGCCGGGGGCCAGACCATCAGCACTGGGGTCCAGCCTGGCCACCGAGCTGGAGGCATTTTTGCACGGGGAGGGCATGCGGCTGTGGCCTGACCAGCCTGGGACTCCGAGCCTTTCTCATGGGTCCCACAGCCGGTGAAAAGGCCACATGTGTGGCTGGGGGGCCATGGCATCGTCTGCAGCCCCCTTTCTGAAGTTCATCTGAGTGTGGGGGACGGTCCCCTGGGAGCAGGACAGGGCCACTGCCCCAGGTGCCTTTCACACCGGCAAGGGGGTGACAGGAGCAGAGGTGGGCTCTGCACTGGGGTAGCGAGGACTCCACTGGGGAGGGGACACCACGGCCGGACACCACGGGCCTTGCCCCGCAGGGTTTCACCCCGGGGACGTCTGTGCTCTGGTCGGAGGGTTGGGAGCTGAGAACCCCTGACTCTCCCTGACTGTCCGAGGCCCTGGGATGGAGGGACATGCACTTTCACTTTTGGAGTGATCAGAGGGGACAGACACGGCCAGAGCCGCCTGGAGTTGGAGACAGCTGTCCCAGTCCCCTGGGTGGCACATTCCACCTGCAGGGGGTGGAGCCAGGGCCCCTGACAGGCCAGCTGCAGGCCACCCTGGGGGGAGAGAGGCCACATCTGCTCCTGTTCAGCCATATTGTCATGTCTGGGGACACCTGGTGTCCTTCCCAGTGGACCAGAGCCACCCAGAGGCCTGTGTGGAACGCAGGTCCCAGCCTGCACCTGCTCCGCCTGGTTCACTGGATGGAGTAAGCATCTGAGGTGCTTCCCATGATGCACCTGTGTTCCCGGGGACAGAACTGCTCCCACAGGAACAGGTGAGGCCCGAGGGCAGCTCATCGGCCAAGTGCCCCATCAGGGCCCTCCCAGAGTGGAGGGCCTTGGGGAAGACCGCTGTGTACCCCGCCGCCCTCCCCGACCCCCCGAGGGCCCGGCGCACACACCGTGGCTGTGGAAGGCCTCGTGCGGAATCTCGATGTAGCTGTGGCCCTGGGCTGGGAAGCGGTAGTGGGAGAAGTTCAAGGTCTTGGGCAGGAGCTTGGCCACGGAGAACTCTGAGGGGAGGTGGGAGAGGCCAGCTGGTCAGTACCTCCAGGCCCGTACCACCGGCTTCTGCCTTCTGTAGCAGAACACGCTCCCGGGGGTGTAAGTGCCTCACAAAATGGGGACCTGAAAAATGAGAGACTGGGACGTACATTCGCGTGCCCATCTGGCTGGCGCTCAGGTGACGCAGTGGCAGTGCCAGGCGCCCACACGGACTCTAACAGCAGAGCCTGCTTCCCACCCCGAACCCACGCACAACGGGGGCCTGGCCCGTCACCACCGAACGCCACGGGGTGCCGTGTGTGCGTCACACTCAGCACCTGCTCTCCCCCGGTCTCCCCCCCGAGTGCGGCTCGTGAAGGACAATGGAGCCAGTGGACAGGGGGGTGTGAGGCAGCCGAGCCGGTGTGTGTGTGATGGACGCAGGGTCCGGTGGGGCACAGCCCCAGGGAGGCCACCCCCCACATCTCAGCCTGCCCACGTGTCCCCCCACTGGCCCGCCCAGCACCTGCCAAGGAGGAGGAGCCCGTGAAGGCGACCCGGGACCCGTCGGCGCGCAGGTTGGAGGAGATGTGCCTCATGACGGTGTCCACGGTCTCTACCAGGCCCGGCACCGTGGCGTCATCCTGGTAACAACACAGGAGGGCACTGGGACACAGAGCTGCGGGACCCTCCAGTGCCCCAGACGCACAAAGCCAAGTTCATGCCCGCTCCGTGGACGCTGGTTCCAAGGAAGGACACCCAGTGTCCCCTGAGTCACTGGGGCTGGGCTCTGTCCTCACGACGACCAGGTGAGGAGGAGGTGAGCCAATCTACCACGACCCCCGTATTTCTCAGGCCTGGAGGTGACCCGAGGCCACTCAGCCGGCCGAGCTCCAGGGACATGGAGCCAGTCACACTGGGGGACAGACACCCGTCCCAGCTTCACTCTGAACTCACTGAGGGGGCTCAGCAGGTCCCTGCCCTGCCCACAAGGAGGGGCCAATCTCTCCCGAGTCCCCTCAGGGAGACCGGGCCATTTTTTAGCCACGCCAGGAAGACAAGCGGGTCCCCAGGGTGGGCGCTGTTTGCACATCTGGACCCCCCTCTATCTCACCTCGGACACGGCCGTCCAGCTGGGCAGCAGCAGCAGTTCTCCCACTGTTCGCAGGAAGGTCTAGGGGAGGCAGAAGGACACGGCTGCCCACGCGCCCTCCGGCCTCGGGACCGCAAGACCGCCCACGCCCGTGCACCTGCCGGCCTGCTGCCGGACGGGGGCTCTGCTGCCGACACCGTCCTGGCGCCATGCTCACTGCCAGGCGGACAGTGGCCTGCGGCCCACGGCGGAGTCTGCCAGAGACCCAGCTCCGCCCCTCGCTGGGTGCCAGCGGGGCTCAGACCAGGAGTAGCCGCCCAGATGCCTACGGGCCAGCCGGCCAGCGCCGGGGACACAGCACCAGGGCCTGGGCCCTGTGCAGGAGGCCCCGCTGCGCCGTTAGAGCTGGCTGGGGTGGCCACACCCTCTGGTTGCTTGTGACAAGCCTGAAATCCTGAGCTTTATGTCAGAGCTCCTGGTTTTTTTAGGTCTGAGTAGGTGGAGCAGCCTGCACCTGCCCGCCGTGGTCTGGTGGCCACCGGGAGCCCGGGCTCGGGAGGGCTTTACCTCGGTCAGGTTCCGTGCCGTGTCCTGGGAGAGGGTTTTGTCGGGTAAGCTGAGGGACACGTTCTGAAGGTAACTCAGCACCACCCCGGGGTTCTGGAAGTTCCTCCGCTCCTCCGTCAGGTTGGCTATGATGGGGCGGTAGGCGTCGGTGGGCACCTGGAAGCAGGTCCGAGGCGTGAGCTCCTGCCGAGAACGGGGGCCGGCACCCCTTCCCCGTGCCCCCGCCTCTGGTCCCACGCCGGCCTCCACAGCGACAGTGAGGACAGCCCTCCCAGGGCAGACGCCGCCCCGGGCCCTGTGTTAACATTCCCTCCTCACCGCAGCCTCAGGAAATCCGCACCCGTTTCCTGGGTGACGCTAAGCCCAGAGGGACTCAGGCCAAACCCAGTGTTAGAGCTGGGATTTGAACCCACGCAGGCGGCTCAGGGTGTGCAGCTCGCGGCTACATCAGAGCCGTCTGGTCGCACATCGAGCCCCAGAGGGACGTCCTCTGTGTGCACGGACCCCTTTCTCACGTGCCAGAACAGAGGGGCACAGAGAGAAACCAAGCCCGAGGGCCGCTGTGCAGCGCGCCCGGGAAAGGCCCCAGCGCCGGGCTGTCGGGTGACGTCTCCCTGTTCTGTGTGTTTCTCAGGCCCCTGGGGCCGCGGCCACACAGAGCAGACGGTTCCCGTCAGTGCCTCCCGGCACCCGGCGCGGCACCCACTCTGGCCTCCCCTCCATGTATCACGTCTTCCAGGACCCACGCTGCCCACAGGGGACATTGGGCTGCCCAGTGGGCTCTCGGTGGTCTTGCACGGAGCCCGGCGAGACCAGCACACGGGGACACACGTCTGCTCACCGGAGTGCCGGCCGCAGGCGTCACAAGGAGGCTGGGCGGCGTCGGGGACGGCCCGCTGTGCTTTCCTGGGGGGAATTGAGAGCGATCAGTCAAAGACCGAAATACAGGCCCTGCGTCCCCTAAGGAAGCCCCGTCCTTATTCGAAACTCCCCCTGCTTCAGACACAGCCACGAGAGGCCGGGGGCCGTGAGCCGTGAGCGGGACGGTTTCTGGAGAGATAAAGGGCCAATACATGAGCTGAGCGGGCAGTTTGTATCGGTTCCCAGGTCGAATTATTTTTCCATTTGTATTCTCCAAGCTTGAATAAATTTATACAGCCTCCCCAACTCCAAGCCAATAAAGAGCCAAAAGAAATGGGCTTTGACCGCGTCCAGAAGTAAAAGACAAACTGCCGGTCGCCGGCAGGGACACTCCTCCATCAGCCCCTCCCTCCAGACAGAGGTGGGGTACTCCTTCCATTGAGAACTCCACTTGGTTAGTCGTGAATGGTGCCATGTAGCTCATTGTGGATGGTTACGCGTAGTTATAAAGAGTGAAGGCAATCCTACACCCAGGGCCCGGCCAAGTGCACTCTCCCTGGTTTGGGGAAGTCCTGGAAGGTCACTTTGGGTGACCCAGAGGGCGCCCTCGTCACCCCCTGTTCACTCTAGGAGAGCCGGCCCTGGGCTGGGGTGGGCTGGGGAGAAGGCGGGACACCGGCGGGACACCTGCAAGGAGAGACACTCTCCTTTCCCAGGCAGAGTGCCGCTCACCCCGCAGTGCCAAGGACTCACAGAGGAGCCGCCCCCGAGAGCCACTCGGTCAAGCCAAGGACAAGAAATGAGTGTCCCACCGTCTGTCTGTCCGACCCGCATTTGATGACCAAGGAGAGGAATGAGAGGCACCAGTGTGCCCTGTCCTTGGGCGGCCGGGGTCCCCGCCGCCCCTGTGTGCGCACCTGGAGTGTCTAGCGCCCCAGGGAAATGCCGCCCCGCCACGGCAGCCTGCACAGCTGGGCCACGCACTCCTGTGCTGGGTGAAACCCAGCGGGTGACGAGCGGTCCTCACTGTGCCTTGGTGGGTTAGGAAGGGTCACGCCCTCTGGGCAGAGCATGCTGATGGGGTCAGATGAGGGCCCCCGGCAGGTCACTTGGAGACACGTCCCTCCAGGCACTGCTGCCCCAGGTTTCCCCACAGGGGGGTCCCTGTGCGGAGAACAGGTCCCCTCCTGGGGACACAGCACCCCTAGGCCCTGCCAGGCGTCAGCCCAGCTGCTAGTCAGAGCGCGGTGGCCTGACGTGGCTCTGGGGACGCCAGGGTCACTTTCCTACACATGCTCTACCCCGTGTACCCTGACACAGAGCAGGTCCCCACGGGACCTGGTCCTCCAGTGGGTCCAGACCCGGCCCAGCCGTGGCTCCCCAGAACGTCAGCAGCACCGCCCACCCCCAGAGACTCGCACAGCCCTTCCCCAGGCACAGAGCTCCCGAAACGCTGCCCAGGTGGGGCCCCTGAGCCCAGAGATGTCCTGTGACAAGGGTCTGCTGTGGCAGCTGCCAGAACCAGTGTCACTGGAGCCGTGGGCTGTCGGGAAGGCAGGGTCTGCCCGTGGTCCTCTGTGACACAGACATCTGCCACGTCGGTGTGACAAGTCCCTGGCTGCTGGACCGTAACGGGCGGTTGATCGATTCCCTCTGTCCTCCTGAAGGACACTCTATTCTGTCCCGTCACTTCCGTGAAAGGGAATGAATTTCATTTTCTAGTGACAGATGGGAGTGTCAGCGGCTGCAGGGGGCACAGCAGGCGTCCCGGTGCTGCTGAGAGACCAGCGCCCAGCTTCCCCGGGGCCTCAGACAAGGCCGAGCCCACCCCACAGCCTCGCCAGGGTCGGGGGCCCAGGCTGCCGGGAGTCAGCACACCCAACCCCCCAGCCACAGTGAGGGGTCCCGCAAAGTGCGGGCACCAGCTGGGCAGAGGAGAGTTGGGGCCAGTCCTCTCTCGGGAGGTCGCCGGAGAAGGAGGGGAACCTGACTCTGGGGGAATGGCAGCCACATTACCACCTCAAGGAAGCTCGGGAGGCAAGGTCAGACGGAGGTCCCTCATGACATCATCTGAGGACCTGGATCAAGCCAGTTCTGAAGCAGGTGCTCCCATGGTTTCCATTATGTGAGATTTTAAAAAACTCCCTCTTGGCTTAAGTTGTCATTGTTGGGTTTTCTGTCACGGGCTCATCCGAGTCCCGACAACTGAGAGGCTCCGTGTCTGGACCTGGGCCGTTCACCCCCGACCCTGACCCCCGCGTCCTGAGTGCTCCGGGGTCGGTGCAACAGCCAGACAAGGAATGTCTGTGACGTGCTGTGTGGTGACTGTGCCTTGTGGCCAGATTTTTTCACATAAAAATGAAGAAACAGCGTACTTTCTTGTGGGTAGAATGAAAATGGAATTGCAGGGAAAGTAAACATTCATTTGAGCCTTGGCTGGTGTGGCTCAGTGGACTGAGTGCCGGCCTGCGAACCAAAGGGTCGCTGGTTCGATTCCTGGTCAGGGCACATGCCCGGGCTGTGGGCCAGGTCCTCAGTAGGAGGCATGTGAGAGGCAGCCACATATCGATGTTTCTCTCCCTCTCTCCCTTCCCCTTTGCCCAAAATTAAATAGATAAAATCTTAAAAATTCATGCTGAAATGTGTGGGGACACGGTCCCGCGCTCCAGCCTCACGCCTCGTCACGGCTCATCACGCCTCCTCACGACTCCCCTTCCCAGCCCCAGGCTCAGGGCAGGGTGTCGGGTGTCAGCCCTTCACGGACGCGGGGACCAGGGTTTGCAGAGAGGAAGAGACGCGAGGTCGCGTGTCCCACGGTCCCGGTCACAGGGAACGCCCAGGGTGGGCAAACCCGCAGAGGGGGACAGTTAACAGTGGTCCCAGGTGGGGGGGCGAGGGGGTGGGAGGCGCAGACGGGAGTGAGGGCTCGTGGGGCCGGCCCCTCGGGGGCTGGGGGTGTCTGCAGCCTGGTGTGAGCACGGGGCGCTCCCCCCCGCGGTGCTTTGCGGCAGACGTCGTACGGATCTTACCTCAGTGCAAAACCCACCCGACCCAAACAAAGACGGGACCTCCCAGTTCCCAGGACTCACGGGAGCTGGGGGCGACTTGAACCCAGGCTCCCCACCCGCCCCCCCCCGCCCCGGCCCCCGCTGTGCCGGGCAGGGAGGGCCCACCAATGAGCGGGCGTGCGGGCAGCTGACAGAAAACATGCATCAGTCTGATGCACGGACAGGCCTGGATCTTTTGCTCCCCAAGGCTTTCTGGAATCATCCGTCACACAGACTCAGAGACTCCTGGTCTCCGGAGGCCATTAATCTGAGTGAGTTTCTGGCAGATGGCGAGTTCCTGTTCCCTCCGCCTTGGGGAACAGGTGTTCTAGGAAAAGCCGTGGTATTTATGAGGCTCGTCAGATGCTGCACCGGCCACGGCAAGGAGGCATGCTGGGGGGGGAAGGCACCCCAGGGCAGACGCCTGCCGGCCCGGCCCCACCACGCGGGGCCTACCCTGCCCCACCACGCGGGGCCCACCCTGCCCCGCCTGGCCCCTCACTGACCTACGGCCGCCCTGAAGTACAAGGCGATCTCCTCCGGGGTCAGCGCCCGCTCCCAGATGATGAGCTCGTCAAACGCCCCGCTCTCGTAGCACCCGCTCCGCTCCTGCCCCGAGCTGATCACCAGGTTGGCGCTGGGCTCCCCGTAGGCGTGAGCCGCTTTCCCGCGGGGGTCCGCCGTGCTCAGGGTCCCGTTGACGTAGACCTTCAGGCCCTCCTTGGACTTCCAGGTGAACAGGACGTGCGTCCAGTAGGGGCCTGGGAAGAGCGAGACCGCCATGCCGCGCGCCGTGGGAGGGGGCGCCAGGCGCTTGCCTCGCCGGGTTTTGGGGACACTGCTCATTCTTGACGTGACTGGTCCCCGCCACCTTGAGCGAGTGCTCACGTAGGTCCTAACACAGACCTGGCCTTCCTCCGTCCTCTGGGGCATAGGAGGGGAGCTACCCCGACCCCCCAAATCCCGAAGCAGTTCGAGGAGATCCTTTGCTATTTTAAATAAGAGCCTTTTCTCTTTTAAACTAAGATGAAAAAAAAACCCCAATGGCCATAAGTTATTCAGGACATTCTTTAAATCCTAAACTTAAAGCCCAAACTAACCATCTTCAGTTCTGACTCAGAATATGAGACATTAACCAAGTACGGCCCCCCCCCCCGCCCCACTCTGTAGGGGCCGGGACCACCCTCCACCCAGGGCTCCTGTGCACTGATCCTGCCGGCACGAGGGCCGAGTTCAGCAGCTGGAAGCGTGACCATGTGACTCTGCCCTGCAAGGGCCCTGGCCCGGTCTGCACGTGCCGTGTCCACACGCCCTCGTGGATGTGCTCCCGGGAGGAACCGGTCTCCCCTGGACCCGGGAGCCCCCTGAACTGGCCCATCGGTTCCACCAGACCCCCTGCTCCAGGCTGAGCACCTTTCTGACTCCGAGCCTCCTCGGCACGCAGACCTAAGTTGGCTCTAAGTACTGTTGCCCGTGGGTGGGGAGCAACTAGACACAACCGTCAACGGGCCTGTGAAGAGCGCACTGCCTGGCGCAGGGTCTCCAGCTCCCCGCTTCCTGGGGTGGGAGCAGCCAGGGCTCAGCTGACTCCACCTTAAAACACTTATGGGCCCCATGAGGTGCCTGGCACCGTGCCAGTCCCCCAGGGCAGGGCGCTAGGACCCACGTAGGAGCCTCTGATGGCAGCTGCGACGTGCCAAGAGCCACAAACGGGGTGCGGGCAGTTCTGGGGGGGCGGGGCTGAGGTCACCTCTGGTCCCCAAGACCAGAGAGGACAAAAGTGCAAGAGCCTCTCAAGGTTCACGTTCACTCGATCCTCCTCTTTGATGGGGCGGAGGGACGAGGCTGGCCCCTCGTGCACGTCGGCACTGGACTCTCGCGGGCGTCCAGCACGCAGGCTGCTGTCCGGCTGGTGCTAGGGACGAGGAAGCCGAGGCAGCTGCAGGGGAGTCGGCGCCCACACAGTGCACGCGGCACAAGGGACTGGGCCCAGGCCGCCGGCTTTGGTTCCATGTTTTTTGACTGAGATGTGAGGCCTCCTTTAAATGGGCGTGACAGTGAGTTTTCCTGAAATACCTGACAGAGGCCCTTTCCTCCTGGAGGACGGCACTCTGGCCTCCTTCTGCCCCTTCCACCTCCGCACTTCCCATCTCGTCACCTCCCACAGACACCCCAAATACCTCCAAGACCCAGTCACCTCTCCCCTCCCAGCTCCTTGCTTGTACCCCAACCTCACGCGCTGAGGTGACCCGTGGCCACGAGCCCCAAGAAAGTGGGAGTCGCCTGACAGAACCACCTAGCACAGCCCCCTCTGCCCAGGGTGCCCGCCCCCACGGGATGTCTTCCCAAGCAGCCCTTATGGGAAGGGCTCTGAGCCAGGTCGCCTGGGGTGTCCCTGCGGCCCCTCTGGGCGGGCGGCGCCCTCACCTGGCGGGCTGAAGGTGGCCTCCCACGTCCTGGAGTTGTCCCGCGCGTACAGCTCCACGGAGCCCTTGCCGCTGCTGGCGCAGATCTTGAAGCCCTCGGAAATGACCTGCCCGCCATAGGTGGGGGAGGCCGGCCCGGGCTGCTGGCCCTGCGTCTTCCAGAAGAAGGAGAAGGTGACCCCTGAGGAAGGGAGAGGCGTCGGTCGTTACCGCTGACAAGTGGGAAAGGTGCAGCCTCTTCACTCTTTTTCACTGAAAACGGCAGCTTGCCTTCACCCACTAGAGACAGCGTGGAGCAGAGACAGGGGAACAGGGAGACTTACTAAGAGCTCACTGGGCGCCAGGCACCTCCCTGAGAGCCTTGAAGGAGCTGCATCCCCCAAATGCCACGGAAAACCGCTATGCACCCGGAGAGGCGGAGGCCACGCGCCCGGGGCCGCCGAACTAGCGGCTGACCGGGACTCGCGTCCACATCCAGCAGCCCAGCTGCAGGCAGGGCCCTGGCTTTCAGTCCCCGACGCCGACGCCTCGCCACGGCGCCGGGTGGGCCAGGAAAGTCGTTCAGTTTTTTCCATAAAATGACGGCCGCGTTTCTAGTTCCCACCAACGAGTTTACCGATTTGGATCGTCTCAGTGTGTTGGCTACACCTTCCGTGCGGTGCCACACTGACTGTTCCCAATCATTGTCTCAACTTGATCACTACCAACTTCGAACGGTCCGCTCAACTTTGACCGTGGAGCATCGTCCAGCGGGAAAGCCTCAGCAGGCAACTTGGCAAACCACCTTGGACACATTCGATCAGTCACAGCACCGTCCCCACACACGGCACAGATCTTTTCCTGTGTTTCATTCTTACCTTTCTTGCGATAATAAAGCATAATATGCCCAAAATGTGGCTTATTTTCTTCCACCTTCAAAATTAAAATGGCTACACAAACATTCGCCAACTTTGGTAAGTTTTTTCAAATGCACGCCGATACGACAGCTGTCACAGCACAACCCAACGAACTGTTTTGAATGGAGTTAAAGACAAGTAGGTGCTGCCAGAGCCATCGGACAGAGACCGAAGGAACCCTCGGCCGAGCCTACAACCCCTTCCGTGTCCGTCTGCAGAAACACCTCACGAGGGGAGGCGGGCCCATGCCCTCCGGGCCCACGGGCGCCCCCGCAGGTCCTCACCCGCATCTGCACGGCGTCACCTTCCACACGGGTCTCTCAACGGCCCCTGGGTCTCCAGGTCGCCGTCAGCTTTTCGTCCCAAATGAAACTGGAAGCTGATCCTGCTTGCAGGTCTTGGATGAGGTGCCTTTAGAATAAAGCCCATCTGGGAACTTTTGGTCAAAGGGGAGCCCACTGTGAGGGGTCTGAGAGCTGTGACGGCTCGCTCCCCATGGAGGGACGAGGTGGGGTGCACAGGGGCCCACCAGGGCACAGGTGGGGCCCCTCGGACCCAGTGGCCTTGCCCACAGGTTGGCAGGAATGAGGGGCCAGTGCTCAGTGTGTCTCCATCACCCGGAGCAGCTGGAGCCTCAAGGGCAAGCCCCACCCGGGAGGGTGCAGACCTGGCCTGAGGCTGCCTTCCTGCCTGGGGGCCGGGCCCCAGGCCCCGGGCAAGGACAGCAGTGTCCGCGCCTGGCTGGAGGCTTGGCCAGACCCCAGACCACTGCCTTTTGGAGCTCAGATGGCACCAGTCTGCTTCTCTCACCCCCGTGACATTTACCCTCTGTTTGCCCGAGTGTGAACTGCGTGTGTGTGCACGAGTGTGTGTGTGCACATGTGCACAGCTGGCCGGCTGCCCGGACTCTATGTGAGAAAGCTGGAGACAGATCCCGCTGCCCCCACCTCCCAGCCTGGCCAGGCTCCTGCTGACCGAGCTTGGAGACGTTGGCGGAGGACCGAGCCCAGAGCCGATCAGCACAGGCCCAGGACAGGGGAGCAAGGGCAGAGGGGACGGCCACGTGCCTGATCCGTATAAATGGCACCAAATTCAGACTTGCGGTTTTATCTTCGAGTGACATTAGAGACAGTCTTCGGAGTCACTGTCATCGAAGTGACTCCTTTGTCATTGATTACAAACTTGGCTCCCAGCGGTGGCCAGCCTGTCACATGTCATGAATCAATGTGTCTGTCACACACTGTTCGTGTGTGGCTTGTGGGGACAGAGTTGGGACAGCTGTGTTGCACTGCACCTTGGTGCATTCAGAACCCTCTTGTGATTAACGTGAGCAGGCAAAACACACGTGATCACATAACCTGGTTTGGAATCTCTTCGTCCTTTAAGAACACGTAAGGCCTGGCTGGGTGTCCTGTCACCCCTGCACCCAAAGGTGGCAGTTTGATCCCTGGCCAGAGAGTGTGCAGAAGGCAACCGATCGATATTTCTCACATCGATGTTTCTCTCCCTCTCTTTCCCTCCCCCCCAAAATCAATAAACATACCCTCGGATGAGGATTAAAATACATGTGTGTATATATATGTATGTACACACACACACACACACACACACACATCCTTAAGAAAACAAAGGGGCTTGGACCCTCCTTGGCCTCGGAGAGGCTCAGGCTGGGAGCTGAAGGCGCACTGTCCTCGGGGCCCCTGAGGGAAGAAGTCCTCAAAGGCGGCCTGTGATGTGGTCAGCATGACCGATGGGACTTGGGAAGGTCACTCAGAGGGCGGCTGTACTGGGCCTGGCCGCGCCTCCCAAGCCTGCCCCCTGCAGAGGTGGCTGGCGGAGCCTTGAGGAAGGGGACGGAGGGCAGAGCCCCCAGACGGGCCTCCCCGGTCTCAGGAACAACCAGTTTCACGGGGAAATGAACGCATGTATTGCGAAACGTTTGTTATGAAACTAATTCCCCATGGGATTTGTGGAAGTCAATTTTTTCCAAACACTTTGCTGCATTTAAAAATTCGCTGCATTCAACTCTGTCTTGGCCAAATGTCTTTCTGTCCAGGAAGAAAAATAAAGCTTTTCACTTGGTGTGAGATGAGGGAGCGAAGGCAGACGCCCGGTCACGAGCGGCCATTCCACCCACGGCGTGGACAGGGGGCTCCACCTGGGGCAGGCTGGCCCTTAAATATCCATTCCCGTCTCCACTGAGGCTTCACAGATTCAGAACGAGCCTCCTGCATTAGCATTTGGAGGGAATTTGCTTCGGGCTCAAAGAAAAACCCTGAAGGAAAAACTCCTCCGTGCAATAGTGGCAAATTAATTCAATCCTGTTTTTTCTCCTTACGAGCATGGAATCCTAATTTACCCCGAAAATACCGTGAGGAAAGGTCTCTGCCAACAAGACGAGGAAGAAAAGGAAAATATGCACACGTCACAAGAAAATATGGACAAATGCGAATGCATACACATCATAAATTTCTGCAAAAAAAAAGTGCCACCGCCAAGTCAGAAGACAAATGGCAAACCAGGGGGCACTGCACCGAACAGACGGCAGACGGACGTCCGGACGCTTCGCCGTGAAACGTGCGCTCGCTGGCACGGAATGAGAGCTCACCACCGGCAGGGTGACCGTTCCGGGGACTTCACGGATACTGACCCGTAACCCTCCCAGGAGCCCAGCGACGCGGGTGTTATCACGGGCCCTGTTTACGGGGGAGAAGACCAAAGCACAGAGGGGTCGAGTGGCTTGTCCAAGGCCACACACCGCCAGTGACGCAGCGAGAGGGGACCCAAGCAGCCTGGCTCGAAGTCTGCACTGTGCTCCGCGGGCCACACTCCCTTCCCTTGGAGACAGTGTTTTGGGGGGAGGGCTCCCTGATGGAGTTGGACGAGAGAGTCCGGGAACTCCCAGGATTAAACACGCACCGAGTAGACCTGGACCAGGGGAGGAGTCTTGCTGTGTGGACAGTCCCTGCTGTGTCCTCACAGTGGGCAGGGCAGCGGGCAGAGGGGCAGCTGTCCCCAGGCCACAGGCGTAGCACTGGACTCTAAGTGAACCCCATGGGCCGCAGGCAGGGAGGGCGTGGCCGCTGCGGGAGCTGTCCCTGCCTGGCAGCAGGAGGTGGGCTTGGAAGAAGCAAACAGGGGTGGAGAGTGGGCGCCGCCCGGGCGGAGGAGCTTCTTATCAAGGGCGGGTGTGTGGGACGGTCTCCAGGCGTTGGAATGCCTGGGACCCACGCCACGTGCCTCCACTGGGAATGAGTCCCGGTGTGGAGCTGGGGACGGGAGGCCCTCCCCGCAGGAGGGACCCAGACCCACAGCAGTAGGACCAGGCAGCCCCTCGGGGGCGCACAGCCACGCCTGGTCCCAGTTCACAGACAGGGGCCGGCCTCGCACGAGCACAGGGCTGTGTGGCCCAGGGAGGGCTCGCAGGGCCGACCTGTGGACCAGGCCCCAAAGCCTGGGTCCTGCAACGACCCACACGTGGCCTCCCAAGGGTCTTCGCTTCGTGAAGCTGGAGTGTCGTCCGTGGGTCCAGGATCCCGTCTGTGAATTCGCTGCGACACGGTTCCGACAAGGCCACCGAATGCGCAAGTGGCCTGAGAGCTTCCGGTGGGCCTGCCTTAAGCCTTTACTTCCCCAGAAACACTCTTTTTCTTCGTGCTCAGGACAGTGAGACCGGAAGCCGCGACGCCGACCTGAACGGCAGAGAACCCGCTCCCGAGGGTTCTGAAGCGCGGCCCGGACGCCCACTGTCGGCGACTCCGGGGCCTCATCCTGACCCCGGGCCTGCCGGCCTTTGCTGGGCCTGCCCCCCGACTGTCCCCGGGCCACCCAGAAACAGCGAGTGTGCCCACACGACCGGCCAAGCCCCCCTGTGCCCTCACCGTGCCGGCTCTCGGGAAGGCTTCTTTTCTTTACTAGACCGAGCAGCCCCACCTCCCGCTCCTGTGAGACGGCCCTCCCGTCTCCAGGGCTCCGGCGTCTGCATCTCACCCGCCCCTCCGGCCCCTTCGCAACCCGTTCACGAATTCACACCTGACAAGAACGCCGCAGTCACACCCGCCACAGCCCAGAGGGGCCGACGCCACCGGACAAGGAAACAGGTGGGAGCGCGCGCCGCGTGGACGGGCCGCTCACCTTCGGGGCCGCACTGGGCGGGGTTGCTGAGGCAGGAGGCGCGGTGCCTCCCGTAGTACAGCAGCGTGACGCCTTTCTCCTCCTTGAGGTAGATGCCCTTGTCCACCTTCCCTTCCACGATGTCTGCGGGGAGAGGGGCGACATCGTCCGTTAGTGAGCTCACAAGATCGGGAGCGTAAGGATGTGCCAGACACAGGAGCTACAAACACTCTCGCTCCTCACACTTATCTCTACACGTCTGTAACAGTGCGCGCTAGCGTGTGACTCTGGAATCGGCCTCGGTTAACGTCTGGTTACTAATAAATGGATCATGATCTGTCAGTTGGTGTCAATAGTAACTAACAAGTTAATAGCCATTAATATCTGTATTAATTAATATTATGCTAGTATATAACATTGGGTTGGCCAAAAAGTACGTTTAGTTTTCCCCATTAAAGTAAAAGACACGTCTTTCACGTTCGCCAGTGACTTGACTGGCTTGGGTGTTGTGAGGATGTTGGCGTCCCCCGCGTGGTGGAACGCTGCTGGTCCAACTGCTGGTCCAACTGCTGTCCCGACCGGATCACTGCCAAGTTCAGCCGGTCCGCCCAACCGCGGGCACCCAGCGAGAAACCAGCAGCAGGGAAGTTCGCAAACGACGTTTCACACGTTCTGTCAGTCACTGCACCTCCTCCACACACGGTGCAAACTTTTTCTCCCACCTCAGTTGCATTTTTACCTTTCTTGGAAAAATAAAGCATGATACACCGAAAATGTTGCTTACTTTCTTCCGTCTTCAATGTTGAACTGGCTACACAAACGCTCCCCAACTTTGGTAAGTTTTTTAAACACAGGCTGATGTGACGAGGCCACAATACAATCTAACAACATCGAGGCCACAATACAATCTAACAACATTGTTTCAAATGAAGTTACAGACTAGAACCACCTCACAGAGAAAACCCAGCGAACGTTTTGGCCAAGCCAACGCATACTTTGCTCTGGAGACTGTGGGTACTATGCCTGCTGGCAGCTGAGTTGCCAGGGCCGGTGAAACTGGAGTCCTCGTATAACACACCACGTCCTGACCTTCCGGTCCGTCAGCAGGCTTTCCGAGCCCCTCCCACAGCATCTTCACGGCCGAGTTCCCGAGTGAACCTCTGGACACGAGTGTGGACATAAAGCCACACCTCAACGCTCTCCGTTCTGGAGTTCTAATCAGCAACCCTTGATCCCTAATGTGGGACCTCGTGTTTTTTTAAAAGTCCATTTTCTGACTCACGGAGGAAAACCTGGAGTCATGTTTTAAATCGTCCCAGGACAGCCTGCCACCGGTGGACCGAGTGGCCCCACGTCCCAGCGGAGTTCTGCCCGAGGCCAACGTTCCCGCTGGGGCGAGGGGGGCGTGATCGTTACAGCGGCGATGTCCAGCCCAGGTGCCGGGACTTCTTCGTCGGGGGCACTGACCTCTTTTCCCTTAGAGTGTCAACTAAGAAAGTGACAACAACCAAGGCAACAACGGTTGCCTGGTGTGAATGGATCAAAATTACACCCATTATTTTGGCCAGATCGGCAAACAATAACCTTTTTGGTGTGCCGCAGAATTTGAGTGCTTGGTTCACGTGTGCAGTGGGATGAGAAAGGCTGACAGTCCCTGGCTTACCGACTTGGTAGGCGGGGACTATAAAACCCTGGCGGAATCGGGCGCTGACGATTCTCGGGGTCAAAGTCCCCGACACCTCGCCTGCGCCCGGGCAGGTGCCTGCAGGGACAGCTGGCAGCAGCGTGACTGCCTCAGGCTGCGTTCAGCCCCCCACCAGCCCGTCCGCTTGGGAACACTGGCCCTGGAAGCAGGCACCTCCCAGCTGCAGGAGCCCTTGGTTAAGAGAGATCAAAGGGTGACGCCTGGCCGTCCGGCCGAGTCCCCCACGAGGCAGACAGGGACTGTGACCCACGGCCGCTGCTCCTTCTGCGTTGAGCCGCGAAGGAAACAAGTGAAGCACGTGGGCCCTGGGGTCCCGTCGGGAACGTAAAGGCTTCACCGTGACTCTAGTGGGTGAGTGGGTGACGGAGCAGCTTCTAAAGACCGAAAACAAATTCCGGCTGCAGAGAAACGCTGACGTTAATGAAGCCCATAAAAAAGCAAATGTTTTACGAGGTATTTTAGAGTAAACTTTGACTTTCCATTAAGAGGGCTTGCTTTGCCTCCCCCAAGAGCGCAATCCCTTTAAACATCCAAACGATTTCTATTTTTAGACAATCTCTGGTCGTCTGTCGGTTTTGTCCTGAAAAGGAACAGCTGGTTCGGAAGGGCCCAGTCCCTCGCAATGTCACAGACACCTTCCAACGCATGGCGGCCTGGGGCGTGTCCTTGCACACCTGACTCTGAGTGGCCCCTGTCAAAACCCTGGGCCTGCTCTTTGCTCGGGTATTGGCGCGCTCGCTGGCCACGACACATGGGTCTGCGCAGCCCCACACCAAACTGGACTTCCCGGTCTCGGGGGGGCGCTAGCGGGACGATGCTCACCTACGGTCGCAGAGGCGTTGGAGTAGGCGGAGCCATTGGTGGGCACGAAGGCAGTGTTATGGGAGGGGAGCACAGTGAGGTTGTGTGCGTGCCATGCTGGGTGGGCGAGAGGGAAGGAAGCACAGCAGATGAGTGACACGAAAGACAGGTGTGACCGCACATCTCCCAGCGGAGCCGCCGAGGCGGCGTCCTCCCCGCTGCCCGCACGGCCTCGGGCCACGCTGCGGCTCCCACTGGCGGCCCCGTCGGGTCACTGTGACGGCCGTGGAATCTGGCCACAAACTTTGGTCCCCACTAGCCGGCTCCAACGCCCTCCTGGACACTGAGTTGAGAGATATGATGTTGAACTCGGCCACACAGCAGCCTTAACAGGAGATGCGGGGGGTGACGTCACAGAAGCTGATGGGACAGAAACACACATGAGCACAACATGGTGAGATGATGACACACATGGTGAGGCACAGGACGACAGAGGACCAGCGACGGACACCAGGGCCGACGCCCGAGGCCCCGGCAGCTCACGGCGAGGCGCTGCCGTCTTCCGAGCAGCTGTGATCACAGGGAGCCGCGCCGCAGAGCGAGGCCTCACAAACCGCGGCATCGAGGCCGTCCGCACCGGAGCGTTTTGGGGCCAACACCCACATCCTGCGGCTGTTTCGGGAAATGGGTGCGTCTGGCGAACATAATCCATCCTGGGGCCCCAGCATCTAAGTTAGGACGCCTCCTTCTAAGAAGGGTTTTTTGGAGGCGAGAGTTTCCCAGACACAAAGAGGGACTGATGGGACCAGGACGATGGGCTGAGCTGGGGGGCGGGGGAGAGAAACACGCCCATCGTTACTGGAGCTGCCGCGTGAAATGACTCCTGTGTTCTTGGTTTATGCGCCCTGCACAGTGAGCTATGTCGACAAGGCACTGCACTGGGTGGGGGCGATCTCCGGGCAGAGACTTTAAAATAGAGGCCCTGAGAGAAAAAGATCCCATTGTAACAACGGGGGCCGATTGGCCTGGAGGGTCAGGTAATAAACGTGCATGGGGATGGGGGTCCCCCACAGTGCAGACCTGCTCTTCAGAGCCCAACAGGCTGCGGGACGGCCATCACCACCTTGGCCCCGACTGCCCCCCACCCCGAAGATGCCAGAGGCTCCGGCTTTGTGCCTCTCAATGTGCAGATTTTAAGGAAAACATGCTGGAACATTAAGTGGCAATTTATGGAGCACATTAAGTCACAGGAATAAGGGACACACCGGCGTGCTGTGTGGATGGCATAATAATCAGCAAATGGGCTTTTTTTTTAACCCGTTCCCCACACCGGTGCAGACTCTGAGCGGTGCCAGGCTGGCTGCAGGGCGAACCAGGCCTGGCCCGTCAGCTGTCCAACACAGTCAGGAGCGACCCAGGAAGCCAAATGAAGCAATAAAGCACCCCACATCACCCAGAACATGCACTGTTTAGAAAGCTCTGACTGGGCCCTGGCTGGCGTGGCTCAGTGGATTGAGCAGCAGCCGGCAAACCAAAAGGTCACCGGTTCGATTCCCTGTCAGGGCACATGCCTGGGTTGCAGCCAGGTCCCCAGTAGGGGGCGCGCAAGAGGCAACTGTTCAATGTGTCTCTCACACGTCAGTGTTTCTCTCCCTCTCTTCTACTCTCCCCTTTCTCTAAATAAATAAATAAAATCTTAAAAAAGGAAAAAGCTCTGACAGGAATGGAAAGCTGCACTCAGAGATGGCTGAGGCTTTTCCTTCTGTGGAACTGGGGACCCCCGACTGCAGGAAGCATGTAGGTGGCGCCTTGCTTCCCCGAGGGGAGCTGCCGTGACGTGGGAGCTGCCGCTGGGCAGGCGCATGCTGGATGAGCCCCGGCCCACGCACGCAGGCGCCTCTCAGCGGGCGCGGCCCCCAGCCCTCGGCTCGTCTCGGGCGGGGCCGTGTGCACAGGCACAGAGGTGAGGCCCGTCCTGCGTCCCGGGGAGTGCACACCTGGACGCACAGGCAGCGTGAAAGTCGGCCGCTTCTGACTGAGGCTTTTGGGGAGACGCACTGCAACGCCCGCATTGTCAGCTCTCCCTTCGGTCGTGAAAGCACATGTGCATGTCAGACACTGGGGTGGCGGTGACCATGGGGGGTCACACCCTCCTGGCTTCCAAGCGGGTGCCACTCACGTGTCCCTCCCGCTGGCCCTGGCCCCCAACTCACCCGCCCCCGCGGCCTCAGGGGTCCCCACCACCATGTCTACCTCCAGTCGTTTCCTGAAGTTCATGGATCCCATCCACGGGCTCCAGGGGCCAGTAATGGGAAGCAGTAAGCAAGACCTCGAACCCTGGGGACAGAAAACAAGGGTGTTAAGTCCCTGTCGGGGAGGAAGGGACCACGCGAGACCCACTGTCAGCCTCCCGCACGGTGAGGTGGCTGGAGGGGAAGTCGCCCAGTGACTCCAGGTCACACTGAAAAGGCAGTGGAATAAATTCAATACTCTCTCCTGGTTTTACACACAGAGCTCAATGAATGAAAAGTCAGTCAATGCTTCCTGAACAGGAAACTCACAATAAGGAGGGACACGAAGATGCCTTTAACCTGAGCAGACAAAGCCGCCACGTCTGACACCGTGGTGGCAGCTGCAAGCCCACTGACTCTGGGGGGAGATGAGTGAGCTCACGGCCACGTCACTCTTCAGCAGTGTTTTGAAGACGTGCCCGATGCAGCCACACGAGGGAACGACAGGAGGCTGGCAGGGGGCAGGGCGGCAGACCGGCCTAGATGCAGGCCAGCCTGGGGGGGGAGGCCCCCGCCTCGGCCTGTCAGCTCTGGGTCCTCCACACGACGGACATTCAATCACGCCTGACTGCGGTCATTTGGCAACGTCCCGCGTGGCCTGTGTGCTCTGAGGAGACGTGATTCTGGGCAGACGTGTCCCCTTCTGGAGTGTTCTCGCTCCGTGCCCTGTCGGCTGTCCCTTTATTTATGTCTCCCCACCCTTCCTGGGGTCCCTCGAGGGGCCGCCGGGCCCCAGACTCGGCTCCTCCCTCAGCTCCGCTGTTCGGGAAGCCAGTCTCCGGGACCACGTCCCAGAGGTGGGAACCGAGGTCCGGAGGACTAAACACAGACCGACTGCCCCGCAGGGCTGCCAGGGCACAGGACAGGACGACCTGACAGAGCGACCTTCGCGTGATCCGTCCTGATAAAGGGGTTTTAAGGGAAGACAGCAGCAGCAGCAGCAGCATTTCTAAGTGGAGTGTGCCTGACAATGAAAACGAAAAACCATTACGAACGCGAAAAGAATGTGGGGAGTGAAAAGCCGTTACAAACAATAAAAGAATTTGGTGAGGAGGCGGACGCAGATTCCGTAGGCCAATGTCAGGCGATCCCCTGTGTCCACACAGCCATGCTGGAACCGTGGAGGGGGAGTGCCCCCGGAGACCCGCGTCCCGTCTGCCTCTCGAGAGGGGACGTAAGGACAACAGAGAGGAACTGCACAGGTTCTCAGGAACAGCACGGGACAACAGCCCCGCAGGGATGGCCGTGAGTGAAGGAAGGACCGAGTCCGCCCTCGGGAAAGGGAACTCGGACCCACGGAGAAGTGGACTATCCTCTCGCTGATACGGAAAGATCAGGAAGTTTGTTGTAACAGGCACTCCCGGGACTGCCTTCGTGAGGCTGATGACAGAACTCACTCAGGAAAGTAAACAAGCACGGAACCCAGGGAGTGTGGACGGGGCGGGTGAGGGGCAGGGCAGCCGCAGGCAGGCAGGCGCCGCCACAGAGCGGATCTGGGGCAACGGGACACGAGCGGGCGGGCGGGTCGGTGGGGAAACACCGAGAGCAGCCGGAGCACACGCAGAAACGCAGTCGATGGCGGCGGTGGCCGTGGAGCATCGGAGGACAGACGACGCGTCATTCACCGAACGCTCTCGGAGCCCGTCCGCCCTCCGCACACCTCGCCCTCTGCACTAACAGCTTCCAGCGGCTCGACACTCGAAGGCGTGGAGGGGGAACCTCGGAGGTGATAAAGCAGAACAGCTCCCGGGGGGACCGCCGGTGAACCTGACCCCGTCGGTTTGTAAAAGTCTGGACAGAACAACCGATTGAGCCTCGCCCAGCGGGGGCGCTGGCCATGTGCCCCGCAGGACAGACTGTGCTGCTCCCTGTGTGGGCGCCCACACGTGCTGGGTGAGTAACTCCTCTTATGAGGACGCTTTCAGCCAAAGAACATCGGGGGAAAGGACATGAAGAGCCATTTCGAAGAAAAAGGAATGTGAACCATTTCTAAATGTATGAAAAGATGGTGCAGCTGGCTCGCAGGGTTCGAAAGCGCGTTGAAGGGACAGCGAGCTGGGCCTGTCCCCCACGGGCAAACGGACAGTTAGATGTGCCGACTCAGCAGGCTCCGCCCCATTCTGGGGGAGTTCCCGCCACGCCGGCTTTTCCGGGGAGTGACGGGAGACACCTGCGCACACGTTAAGCCCGCATTCCCTTTGACCTAGTAACCCCACACCTGGGAACACATTCTCAAGATACACTCACACCTGTGACTGAACACCTGTGTCCAGTGGTGTGTGCCGCAGGTGTGTGACATCTGTGTCAACATCCTGCAGACGCTTCTCAGCGAGGGGCCGGGTTCAGATCACGGAGCAGGTACATGGGAGACGGGCGTGCGGTCTGCAAAGGGGGTGCGGCGAGACCACACAGGCCCGGCACCCACAACGCCCCCTTTTGCTGCAAAATCTCTTGTTACAAAACCACAAGCGTGTCATTCTGTGACATAATGACATCACACGCAAGCACACACTGTGCCATTTTGGGTGAAATGTTCAAATGAAAACGATAAATCATTACACCCACATTACTCCCCTACTGACCCCAGTCCAGCAGGCATCGCTTCTGCTGGGCCCTCTGGGAGCTTCTCTGAGGTGCACGGTTAAGTTTAGAGTCAGGGTGAGTCCTGGCCAGGTGGCTCTGTCGGCTGGAGCGTCACCCTGGTAGGCCCAGGTTGCGGGTTTGATTTCCAGGCAGGGCACGGGCAAGCATCGACCAATGAACGCGTAAGTGAGCGGAACCACCTCCTTCCTCTCTCTAAAATCAATCAATAATTTTTTTTAAACATCAAGGTGGGAAGAACGTGCGTGGTGGGAGCTATGTGGGTAAACCACAGAGGTTCAGGGGCGGAGCAGGAAGAAAGGGGAGAGAGACATTGGCGGGACACCCTGGACACCGACATCGGTGTTTGGGGCTCAGAAAATCGGGCGCTGGGCGTGAGACGTACGCTTTGTGTTTCCTTATCTTCATGTTCTACTCAAATGCCTGGACTGCGTTTCTTTTAAAAGTGTGTTAAGACTTGCTTTGCAATTAAAACAGCCCGTCCGTGGTGTCCACCCTGAACTCTCAGGTGAGAACAGAATCCCCGGCCCCCCGCACTGAACGTCTGCACTTCGGTCTACAGGGCACCACGCCCCTGCACGCGTGCAGGTCACCCGTCCCCCTGGTCGGTCTGCACGCGTGGGGCCATCCTTTCAGACAAGGCTATGAGTCCAAAACACAAGCCAAGAACAAAGTCAGTTCTGTAACAGGGGCTGAAACGCAGCCACACAGCCACTAAGTCCTGTGCGTGCTAAGGTGACGTGGGACTCTGGCCACCGGGACCCGGACATGCCATGATCCTGGTCACTGCATAGCGGGTGCCTGAAAGGAGGAAGCCAGAAACTCGGGTCCTCCTTCCGACCACATCTGGTCTTTTCTGAAGTCCAGGCTCCTCCTCGGGACGAGCAGGAAGCGGCCCTGACTTACGAGCTATTCATCTGGGAGAAGTGGGAGAAGGAAAGAACATCGTATGAGGAGCAGATGTTGTCTCCGGGGTCCTTGTCTTCATAACACGGGCCCCGTGTGCTTGTCCTGTCCACCTACGAGTGGCCGGGGGCGGGGGAAGGGATGCAGCTGTCCACACGAAAGTCGGCCCCCCGGACGGCTGTCCGGGGCCCCAGGGAGTAAGTGGGCGAACAAACACACAAAGACTATACATGAAATTCTGATGCCGCCAAATCTCTCTTTGCCGAATTTCTGTTTGATCAGAAACACTTTTTTTTGCACTAGGAAGATACAGAACGAAGCCTCTGCAGTGACCCGGCGGTTCTGGTGGCCTCTGTGCACTGCCCACGTGACACTGGAGATGAGGCCCCCGGGTGGCCGTGGTGGTGGCTGCACAATAAACAGACACCGACGGGCTGTGGGGGGCACCTGAAACTGCCCCATGTCCTCTGTCCACAGTATCTCCACTTAAAAAGTAAAAATAAGAGAACAAGCTATTTATTCCCACAGAAGGAAAACAGCCGCCTAGAACTCTGGGGAGTTACAACGGCCGTAATAACAGGCTCTGGCTTCCTCAGTCTCGAAATAGGCCGGTGAGCCGAGGTGAGCCCCCGGGCTCTCGGGCGCGGACGGGAGGAACCGCACAGCCGCCCGAGCGCCCCAGGGCCGGCGAACTCCTGGGACCCTGGCACGTTCCGTTAGAGCTCGCTCTCCTCCTTGCAGAGGTCATCCGTGCAGTACAAGTTTATAAACCGCCCAGGGGTGACCTGCAACTTCCAGGCTGTGCCCTCGAGGGGTTCGGTTTCCGTGGCCCTCCCAGCCCCTAGTGCTGCCCGGGGGACAGAGCAGGACAGTGGGCCACCTGGGGCCAGAGGGAAGGTTTCAGAGGTGGGGTGGGGTCCTGGCTCCCCCTCCCTGGGCTGCACCATCCGGAGGGAGGTGTGCAACTTCTCTGACGTGACCGTCCACGGTCACAGGTAAACGCAGATGATGCCGAGGTGCGAGAAGACCCCAGCTGGCTTTCCCACTACCTGCCGCACCGGGCACCAGTTCCCGGGAGGACTGCAAGAGGCTCGCTGCCTGGGCCGGTGGGGACACACAGAGCAGACGATCCCCCCGAACGCCCCCGGGGTCGAAGCCCCTGGCCGTCGGTGTCCCAGGATACCCGGTGACCGGCCAGTCCTCAAATGGCCGTGCAGGGCCCCGTCAATAGGTATTTGCAGAGCATCTGCCCCCTCCTCCACGTGGAGGGCCCCGAGCCAGGTGCCACAGCGACAGTCTACTGGTCCTGACGGCCCCTCAGACGGCAACCTGCAGGGGTCGTGGGAACAAGGGGCTGCTGGCCGGGAGGAGACCAGGGTGCTGGCTTGCGTGGGGGGCGCCGCCAGGCTCCCCTGACACCCGGCACCAAGAAGGGGAGGGTGCAGGGCACAGGTCTCCTCTCTCCTGCTGAGTTATTTGTCCCCGAGCCAGAGAAAACCCCTCTCCCTGTCCGCGTTGTGACTGCGAACAGGGGCGCAGGCGGATACTCTCCGCTTCACACCTTTTCCGAAAGCAGACGGACCGGAATGTGCGGACCAGAGGCCAGGGGCCACACCTCTGCCACAATACCAATTCGCCGGGGCCGCAACAACGGTCACAACGTCCCAGCTCAGGGCTGCGTCACAGCACCAAGGAGACAGAAGTCCCACCCCAGGCCTGCCTCACCCTGCCAGGTCCCCCCGCGTCCATCCCTCACATGGGGCTCCGTCCAAGCACTCGGCTCTGTCCCTGGGCAGGGCTGGGCGGGTTGGCTGTGCCCACAATCCCTGGTTGTCCACTCAAAGTCAGTCCCCAGAGGTGCAGTAACTGGGGGAGCCCGCCGTCCCCTGAAGCTCTGTGACACGGGCCTGCCATCAAGGTCCGGGCTGTGCTCACAGCTTCCGAGCGAGGGCTTGGGGACACGTGTGGGGGTTCCTCCGCACCACACACACACTGGCCAAGGAAAGAATGGGGAACTGAGTCTGCAGAGCGAGTCCTGGCCACTCACACCTGCCTGTGCCTCTGCAGCGGCGTGGGTGGTCCCCCCCACTTTCGGTGACAGCCTGCACGCCTCTTCTGTCACCCCCAGAAAAGCCTCCCTGTGACGCTTCTAGACCAAGGACTCACACGGCAAAGGACAGGGGCCTGGTGGTGACCGGGGTGGGGGTCCCCCCGCTGCTCGATGCTCTCAGTGGGGCTGCAGGTGTCCAGCGCCCGGACTCAGGGCAGTGACAGAGAGTGGAGGCAGCGGCGTGAGGCTGAAGGACTGAGAACTAGGCCACCAAAGTGGGTCGGCGCTGGACACGTGATGTAAGGCAGGCAACGTCCGGCCTGAGAACGCGCACATTTCTATTCACAGGCTTCGAGCGACCGAGAGCAAGAGGCTCTTGGCCCAGAGACACCTGCCTCTCCAGCCACCGCTTGGGGACAGGGAGGTAGGACTTCGAGGACAAGCAGAGCAACCGGGAGGGCAAAGTACAGCCGGCAGCTGGCCAGGCCGGGGGGAGCCGGAGCAGGGCCACCCCCAGGCGGCACCACCAACACACAAAGGACAGTGCCCACAAGGACGCCACGCGCTGACCGGGGCAGAAGCTCCCTTACCTGGGTGGGCCTGTGACCCGCAGAGGGCTGGACGCACCTGCACAGAAAACAGCACAGCGTGAGACTCGGGGCCACCGGGCAGAGCCCGGCCCGGTCACAGCGCCCCACTGGGGACGGGGACGGTACCTGAAAATTGCAATGCAGCAGCAGCAGCCAGGAGGGCCAGCAGCCAGGCAGCAGCCTCCTCATCATGCGTCCGGGGCCAGCTGCGAGCCACCTGTGGCTCCCGGCGGCGGGGACAAAGTGTCTGCTCTAACTGTCCCTTCCTCGGGGGAGGGACATTTTCACGGGCTCTGGAAAGAACAGGCAGCCGCCTCTCTGCAGTCGGTGGCAGGCGGCGTGTGCTCCGTCCTCGTCTGCACACTCTCGAGCCTTCAGGGATCAATAAACATGCCGCAGCCAGCGGAGCGTCCGTGGAATGCGGGGCGGCGAGCCCCGGACGGGCCGGACGGGCCGTCCCAAACGCAGGGCAGTACGCCCCGCGAGGCAGGCAGCGTGGCCAGCAGTCACGGCCGCCCGAGCCAGCAGCCGCCGTTCATCCCCATCCAGGCTGGGAGCAGGCTGTTCCTTCTTCCTTGGAGTCTGGGGACCAAGAGGACTTCTGAAGGAACTCTGTCCCCCTGCAGCGGCCGAGTCATCTGGGGCTGCCTCCAGCGTCCACCCCTCATCCCAGCTCTGGGTGGGGAGAGGCGGTGATGTCAGGCTTGCTCCTCAAACTTTGCTCCGCCGCCCTCTATTTATATCCCGGCCACACCGCCCGTGCTGGGTCCTAGCTCCAGTCTGTTCGGAGCAGCAGCCGGTCCGTCTGCTCCGGGCTGCTCCGGGCTGCTCCTCTGCCTCCCTGCCGGCGCCCCTGCCCCCGAGTCACCCTCAGTATCAAAATGCACACAGGGGGCAACAGGGGGCAGCAAACCACAAACTTCCGTCCAGGGCTGAGTCCCGTCTGCCTGGAGGAAGAAGGAAGGTGACATATGGGAGACAAGGGAGATGCCCCCCGCCACGTGCCGCCACGTTTTCCTCTTTAACCCTTTCCAAGAAGAGCGGAGGCCAAGGACCCCTTCCCAGGGGACACGGAGCTGCGACCACAGACCCCAGCGCCCCCGCCCCGTCCAGGACGGGGCTCCCAGCACAGTGGCGGTGGGGCCCTCAGCCGGCCCGCGCCGTGGTTTACTCAAGATGCTCAAGCGCCTGACCTGTTCTGAACACGTGGACACACACGCAGGGGGGCCGTCACGGCTGCGGTGGCCTCGGGACCAGACTGACCCCATGTCCCTGCTCTGTCTCCCACTCTCAGCAGCGGAGTGCCCCCGGGCCGGGCCCCCAAGTCCCTGCCTCACCACACGCCGGGGACATGGGCCCCCTCCTCCCAGGGCTGGGGTGGGGTACACGCAAGGCTCTCAGTGTGGAGCTGGGGAGACGCAGTCTCCGCAAACGCTTGCTGTTTTTGGCAGAGCAAGACTGTCACTCGGCGACGTTAGCTCTGAGGAAGACGACAAAGGAGAAGCTGCTGGGTGGCACAGCCCCTGGGTCCCCACCCTAAATGGGAAGTGGGTGCTGCGCCCGAGTGGCCCTGCTGAGGAGGCCCGGACAGGGAGGAAGGAAAGAGCTGTCCAAACGCAGGCGGCTGCCTTCCACTGTGGCCTGCAGCACAGGGCCCCGGCCCACCAGGCGCTGGAGACACCAGGACTCAAATTACACAGCCCTGCTCACACCGACCTGCACCTAAGTCGGGACCCAGCCTCCAGCGGCTGCAGGGCAAAAAGTAAGAGCTGAGCTGGGGGGAGGGGAGAAGAGCCCCCGCCCCCCACCCCCACCCCGAAGGCCCTTCTCCGTGTCCCACGCAGGGACTCGGCGAGGAGACAGGGCAGCAGGGGCTGCATCCAGCCTCTGGGTGACAGGTAGACAAGCGAGCAGTCTCCACGGGGCATAATGCCCATCTTGACCTTCCTCTCCCAGGAGCCAAGTGCGTAGGTCACGGGAAGGAGGGGCCCCCGAAGCCCAGGGCACAGGGCAGGAACCTCTGTCCCCAGGGGAGGGGCAGAAAGATCTCCACGTGCCGGGACAGGGGCAGAGCCACTGAGAAAGTCTGCCGGAGACACTGGGACACAGGGACCAAGGCTGACCAGGAAAACAGACTTCCACTGTCCCCACTGCCGGGCCAGGAAGAATCTGCGTCCCAGTGACGGGAGAGGTGAGCACTGGGGCAGCATCCGGGCGGAGAGAGCCGGAGACCGCAGGGGGTGGCACGGCGAGAGGCGCGCCCGAAGCACCGGGCCAGGGGACCAGGAGGCCAGGTGGGCGACCGTGACCAGGGCCACGGGACCCAGGCAGCCGCACACCTGACAGACGGACCTAACATGCACACATGCACACACGTGTGCACACACGTGCAGGCGCACACCAATGGTCTAGCAGACGAGAGCTGTGCCCGTTCCCAGCACGAACGCCATTTGCCCAAGTCCCCACGGTCTGACGCGTGACACCCCGCATTCTTGCTCAGATTGTGACCAAAAAGCAAGGAAAACCAACCCACTGTGAAAAGACGCAGCTGCCCCCTCAGTCAGGACATGCTCGCTGCTCTGCAGCAAAGCAGCCACACACGCAGACATGTGGGGAGGGTGTGCAGAGAAACGGGAATCACGTGGAGGACTGTCCCTTTCCAGAGGAAATGCTGCCACCAAGAATCAGGCAGGTGGCAGGTCAGACGTCCCTGGGCGAGCTCGCCGGCAGACGTGCCCCGGGCAGGGCTGGAGGCCACGAGCCTCGTGGTGGGGCAACCACAGTTCGCCGTGCTGGAGCACGGGGAGGAAACGAAAGGAACGATTCTGCTGGAAAACACAGCAGAACGAGCGGTGTCACAATATCGAATAATCTAACACATGTGTGATTGAAATTCCAGACGCAGAAGTGAGAAAACGAGGCAAAAAAACGCTCGAAGAGAGAATGGCCAAGAATGTTAAAAAATAATGAACTAAGTTCAGCCACAGGCCCCAGAACCTTAGACCACACCCAGCCAGACAGACAGCAGGCACACACCCTCACACAACACATACATACCACACACAACACAATGCACACCACTCACACATCACACACACACCTGGAAACGTGGCCATCAAACTCCTAAAAATCTGCATAAAGAGAAGTCACAAGGCAGCCAGAGGAAAATTCGTGTGACAAAGAGGACAAAGACCAGAGTCACAGTGGGCTCTTATCAGGAGCTGGGCGAGTCTGAGGCCAATGCAGAGGCACACAGCTGTGTGTAGGTGGCAGAGGGGACAGCCTTGTCTGGGGACAATCTTCCACAGGGACCAAGCGGTGGGGAGTGGGCGGGGCTACTGCTCCAGGCGCCGAGTTCCTTCTGGGGACAATGAAGAGGCTCAGAAAGTAGACAGTGTGATGGCCTTAAAAAAAATCACTGATTCTGACTTGTGGTCAAGATGGTGGCACAGGTAAACATAGCCTGCCTCCTCGCACACCCACATTAGAATAATAACTAAATTATAGAACAACCATCACTCAGAACCATTAGAAAGCGAGTCGAATGGAAGTCTGACAGTCACGGAATTAAACCGCATCCACCCAGACTGGTATGAGGGGCACGGATGCAGAACAGGCTGGTCCCACACCCATGTGTGGTGGGTAAAAATTCGGGAGGGACATCTCGGGAGCAAAGAGTCCCAGCCCCACACCAGGGCCCCCAGTCCAGGGTTCCAGTGCCAGGGAGATAAGTCCCCACAACTTCCGGCTGCAGAAACCAGCGGGGCCTGAGTCGGTGGAAGAAAGAAGCCCCAAGCAGTTCCTGTTGAAGAACCCACACAGGGACTCACTCAGACTCACTCCTCTGAGCTCTAGGACTGGGGTAGCAGTTTGAGAGGCACCAGTGGCACAGGGAGGAACTGAAGTGTCTGGCATCGAGGTGGGCAGAGGCCACTGTCCCTTTTCTAAACCTCCCCCCACAGAGCCAGCAGGCTGGTGCCGTATCTGAGACTATCAGCCTGGCTAACACTGTGTGACCCACCCTGGAGGTCCCCTGAGACTATGCCCCGCCCCACCTGTGGGCCCACCCACACTGCTTTTCCAAGTGAATGGCTGGTCTCTGCTCCTGCTGCACAACTTCCTAAATCCTCTCAAATAAGCAGCAGCAGCCTCAGTGAGCCCTAGGTCCTGCACTGGCAGCAGCCAGCCTAATACACAGCTTGGCTTCATCTGGGAGTCTCCAAGCCCAGCACAAGTAGCAGCCGTCTCAGATTGCTTTATCGCTCAGGCAGGGAGGCCCCCGGCAGAACACAGGTGGGGGCTGACCTTGGCCTGCACCACCCAGGAAACCCCAGAGGCAGTGAGTGCACGCAGTGGACAGCTACGGACCACGTTGGAGCACCAGCACCTGCCCCTGCACAGCCGATCCTTCACGGAGGGCAGAGGGTGGTGGTCAGTGGTCACAGCCAGTCCTTGCAGCTGACTGGCCTGGGTAAATCCCTCCCATTGATTTGCCAACAGCAACCAAGGCTCAAGTACAACAGGAGGGTGTACTCAGCCCACACGAAGGGCGCACCTCGAGTACCCAGCTTGGGGGACAGGGGAGGCTGTGCCACCGGACCCTACAGGACACCTGCTACGTTAGGCCACACTACCAAGACACGGAGTCAAAGCAGCTCTACCTAATACATAGGAACAAACACAGGGAGGCTGCCAAAATGAGACAAAGAAACATGGCCCAAATGAAAGAACAGATCAAAACTCCAAAAAAAGAACTAAACAAAATGGGGGTAAGCAACCTTTCAGAGGCAGAGTTCAAATCACTGGTTATAAGGATGCTCAAGGAACTTAGTGAAGACCTCAACAGCATAAGAAAGGCCCAGTCAGAAACAGTGGTTACACTAAGTGAAATAAAGAACAATTTACAGGAAAACAACAGGAGAACAGAAGAAGAAAAAAAGAATCCAAAAAAAGCTAAGATAGTATAAGCAGCCTCTGGGACAACTTCAAGAGGTCCAACATTCACCTCATGGAGTGCCAGAAGGAGAAGAGAAAGAGCAAGAAATTGAAAGTGTCTTTGAAAAAATAGGACTTCCGCCAAGATGGAGGTTTAAGGTGGATGTGCCTGCCTCCTCACACAACCAAGTTTAGGGACAACTAAATATTAGCATCAGAAAACACAACCAGAACACGGAAAACTGAACTTTTCGGAAGTCCGCTAACAACAAATTCTTCGGCCCCACCGGTAAGGGGCGAAACCGGCGTCGGGTGAGGAGTTACAAAGGAGTCGACCCAGGCGCGGAATCCAGTCGCACGGGTTCCAAACCCGTGGACCTAGTGAGCGACCGAGCGGCCCACCGGGTGAGCGACTACGGAGGAGTCAGTGGGGAGGCGGTGGCAGCGAGTTGACTGAGGTTGCATGGTTGCACGCGGGTGAGGGAGTGAGCGCTTGGACCGGCGGCGGCAGCGCCATTTCCCCGCTCTGACCACGCCCCCACATACAGCATCACAACCCAGAGACCTGGGAATCCAAGGCGCCGCTCCTCCCACTTAAAGGGCCAGAACAGACCAAAAATGTCGCAGGAAGACCTCAAAGCCCCAGAGATAAATCTAAGTGACGAAGAAATAGCAAATCTCTCAGACGCACAGTTTAAAACACTGGTCATCAGCTTCCTCACAGATCTGGTGGACTATAGCCACAAATTAGAGAAAAATATGAAGGCTAAATTAAGGGAAATGAATGGAATTCCACAGGAAAACCATAGAGATGAAAAAAAAACTGGGACTCAAATCAATGGAGTGAACCAGAAGGAAGAAAAAAATGATCAATCAGAAAG